AACTCCTTCAGTATAATCACTTCCAAGAAGCAATGCCATACGGATTAGTTTGTCTTGATCTAAGGCAAGCTCGCACTAAATATCCTGAGATAAGAGAAAGAAATATTTGCAAAATCACAAACCTATGGGATGTATTCGAGCATTCTTCTATTTGATCATAACTATAACTCTACAAGAATGTGTTTTATGCACCAAACATCAAATAGAACTGGCTCTACAATCTACCAAAAGCAGTATAACTTGCTAATGACAAAGGCAAACACCATGAATAATTAAGTAGCTAAGAATTCAAGTGTATGTTCCTTGCCAATAGAGGACTAAAATGCAAAGGTACTTCTACGAAGATGTGTTGCTGGTGCATGTAGGAACAGACTGGGTACAATACAGTACATGGAACTTTCTGCTCCAGACTATGCCCAACATATTAGCCCTCAAAATTCTGCTGAGTATGTTGTACAGATGAAGTAGAACTAAAGCTTTTGAGATAATTAGAGGTATAAATTTACTTAAAATATGGAAACTACAAGCTATTGATTGATAAGTTAAAGGAACAGACACCTTCACGAAGTATGTCTCAACATATTTCCGATCATCGATTATGTACTTGTAGACACTTCGAGCTCCAAACAAGAAGACATAAGAATCATTAGTTACAACACCATCAACAAGGTCTGTCATTTCTATATAAGCACACTGAGCTTCTGTTCTGTAGGTGCAATAATATAAGGCAAACCAAACATTTGAAACAGTTCCTACAATTTTTCAAAAAAGTAATGAGGAGCTGCATGTGTGCATTAACATTGCTTGCATCATAGCTCAGGATTGAGCAGATAACAATTAAATACATCTTTTGCCAAGTGTATAGTATTGATGTTTACCAAAATTGTAGCTTTTATGCCAATGAAACTACCAAGGTGAGGGAAGAAGCTCCTAATAGAAACGTGAAGAACATGATAATTGAAGGGTCCTTTAATCTCTACTTTTAGTAAATGTTATCAGTTATGCTAGAAAACAAGTATAATATTCTAAGGATGATATTTTAAGCATAAAATTACATAAACTCGCAGAGAACACAGAATGTCAGAAACTATATAGGTTAGATTCTTAAACTTTTTCTCCTAAAATACCAGAAAGGCCTGAAGAACACCTAACACTCAGCAAACATCTCATTGTTCACACACTCAGCATCTCGCTCGAGCATTCTTTGCTCATTTCCAAGGTTCACACGTTCTTGTCTAAGGAGAGAGATTTCTTTGTCCAAACTAGCTTCTGATACTTCCATTTGATTGTTTAAGATCTGTGTACTATATCCAATATGATCAGATATAGTATTATCTTTCTCAGCAATATTCTGTTGTGATTTCATACCAGTGTCTATAATTTCTTCCATCAAGGAGCTATTTCCTGACAATGAATTATTATATCCTCTTTCAGGCGATACACTTGATCTAGATAGATGGCGACTGTCACGATTTGAGGAACCAACAACAACTTCAGATCCATCATCTGTAATCTTAGTGCTGGTATTAGGCCTTGATCTCACACAATTCCTCCATGGACATTCTTGAACAAGATTTAATTTGGACTTGATAACTAGCATCAAGAGATTGTTCCAACCAACTTGGGTGACCATCAGAAGGTTTGCAAGGTGGAATGTTGCCTCTTTGTGAAGTCATTACATTCTGTTCATCTTCTCTTCTACTTAGCAGAGATGATTCTCCATCCAAATCTAAACCAGATAAATTATATGAATCAAGATTATTCTTTGAAGAATCAGGGATCTGCAAATCATCCTCTTTGCAGCGATTATCCAACTGTCCATCATTACATGATGGACTTTCCTCAGCATCATTACCTAAATGAACACAAGTATTTGTCACCAGTTTGTGCAAAATAACCCCATCAGAGATTTGATCTTTCACCGATCTCATTAATTTTGTAACTGCTGAAGAATTGGTTGAAGAGTTTTGTTCCTTAAAATCTTCAGGGCTTCTCCTTATTGCTTCTTGTATATCAGCTTCTTCCTGAAGCATTCCTCTAGAAACATCTTTTACAGGTTTATCCAGAAATTGAGAACTTGTGTCAGGATTTTGACACACCCCTTTCTCCCAATCCACATCAGCTACTTCATAGCTGCTCTAAGCTAAAGACGATTGGTTTTTCTTCAAGTCACTTTTCGGACTTGCAGTTATATCAGCAAAACTATTTGGAATTTCAGAAATTTCCTTAACTAGACCTTCCTCCCAACTGCAATCAGATTCAGATTCATTTGTGCTCTTATCTGAATGAACACATTCCAAGGGTAAATTGGTTTTCTGGCCTCCAAAAATCAATTGCATGAATATATTATCATCATCCGTAGCTTTCTTCCCGCTGTCATCCTCTGAGAAGGAAATCACAATTGCATCTTCACTACCATGAATAGCAAGTTCATCCATGTAACCTCTCCTGTCTAGTGGGAGTGAACTACTTTTCTCAGTAAATGTTACACCTATTCCTTCATTACTTGCTACACTTGGGGAATGATTATTTCCAGAAAGACCTTTGGAGACATCAACAACTTTTTTGGTGTGGGAAGCCACCCGATCTGAGGAGTTATCTCCCCTTCTTTTCTCCTGCTCATACTTTTCCATCAGATCTAAATTCCTCTGTAAATCACGAGTCATGCGAATTCCTAATCCTTTAACTCTGCTAACTCGAACAAGACCATTCTCATCACAATATGTCTCAACATCAGGTCCAAAATCCTTTACACGTTTACTAATAGAAACCTCCTTAACCAATTTATGTTGACTACTAAGCAAGCTGCATTTTGCTGAATTTGAAGTGCTTTGTTTTGCCAATGAATAATGATCCCCATTTTCACTATTTCCAACTCCTCTTGATGCAAGAACCCTAAAATAGAGCACCAATAGTAGAAAAGTGACCTCAAATAGAGAATGAACTGTTTTACCACCTATGAAATGCTAGTTAGCAGTTAGCACATTAAGCATCATGATCAAGACGTAAATAAATGCTAGTTAGCACAATAAGCATCCGATTTCAGCAATCAATCAAACCACTACAGCGCCAATATATTGGTTGGCACACTGGTCTACACCATCTAGTACCACTGAAAATGTAATGAAAATTAAATATATACTGATTGGTATTAATTTATATAGTTTGATGTCAGATCGATACCAAACATGTGCAGTTGCAGGAATAAGTTTTATCAAATTTTAAATGTTGTATTTTGTAACTCCAAATCATTGGAGTTTTATCTAATTTATAACTCCAACACATATAGTTCAGCATAAATCAATGTAATTTGTGGAAATCATATTTTTGTTGATGTAGGATACTACCATGGGCTTCCTGTAATAGGAGCACCACAGTATGCTGCTCCACCACCCAGGAGCAGTGGATTTTTGGAAGGATGCTTAAAGTTTTGTTCTAATAATACTCTGTTCCCGAAAAAACTTCTGAATCACCCCTTCCTTCTGTTGTTTCTGTGTTTGTCGGAGCAAAAGGAAAAATTGGAGTCTTTCTCTATTTTTTGTGTGATTAAAGTATACAACAATAGAGGAATATGACATTTCACTGATGAAAAAAGATTAAATGGAATAGTGAAAATCAAACAGTATATGCAATTAAGATTTGATGCATTGCATGGCATACCATCCAAAATAACATGAAACGACGTGTACCAGTTTGCCCACTGATTGGAAAGTGATAAGCCTGTTTCAGATCGTATGCAAGAATCACATGAGATATCAGCAAAGTATGGATGATATGCCGTTCAGTACCTTGAAAACTCATGTTGTATTGGACAAAATTTGATCGATACCAATCTAAATCGGCTCAAGTGAAACCCGAATACTCGAATTGACCATTGAGACCTCTTTTGGAACTTTAAATCCTCATGTTTTCCCCTTTTCACTCAGTATTACTCTCATTCACTCTCATTCGCTTTCTCACTCATTCTCGCACTTTTATTTGTGAAAGTTCATGATCGGTGATTAGTGATAATCAAGATATTGATTTAAATAAAGGAGGGATTCGAACTCAAGATATGATGAAATTTCAGTCTAATTTAAGATAGCATTTAGCCATTTAGCTTTTTTCTATGTTTTATCATAATTTTGTATAAAGATTAAACGTGATTAAGGTCATTCTCTTATGTTTAGTCTCAACTAGGTTTATTCTCTTATATTTAGACCTAAATTATGGATATTTAGGGCCAAATTGATGGTACTAAAAAGATAAATTCACTTTCTCATCCTTATGTTCATGCCTCATATACACTATATTCTTATTTAAATATAATAAGTTATCATTAATTAGGATTAAATACTTAAAATTTTCTTCTATGAATTCCAATGCTTTTTTAAAAAGAAAATTGAGATGTACTAATATTCAGACATATGGTACGTCAATACCGACTACACTACATCGATTTGTTCATGGGCCAATACCACCGATCAACACGATACTGTGATCAATGATTGGATCATCTTAGCATGTATCCTATTTATTCTTTTCTTGTGTTGAGCTTTTACGTGGAAGAGGAACTTGGATTTGTAAAATGTATTTGTAGAGTTTACTTGAAATGAAGTTGTAAAAAAAACTTCAAATCACCTTCATTTTTCTTCAACAACAAGTTTTGAAAGTTGTAAAAAATTATTTTAATGTTGTTGCTGCTAAGATAAACTTATTTCTAGAGTTTTTTAGCATTCTTTGCAAGTTTCCATTACTATGAATATTATCTAAACACCAATTGCTGATATTTTTCACATGCTCATAATAGTGGACTCCTTGATGTTTATGTTATGCTATATGGTGTTCCTATGCTTGTAAAATATTACCAGATGACTTCAGAGATTTGGGAAAAAAAAATAAATATTATTTGCTGGTTATTGGTCAAGCTATAGCTACAAAAAATATATATATATTTTTTTTCCATCACTAATCTTGCCATCACCAAAATTGATCTGACCAACAAAAGTTTTTATTGCCAAAACTCTTCAGCAAGAATTTGTTAAACCTTTCGGTGAAAATTGTTATTCTCAATCAAAAAGTTTAATATTACGTGGAGGTAATTAAATTCTCATATTGTTTAACAGAAAAAAAATAAAAAAAGACTGATTCACTTAAGGAATATACTTTGGAAGAAAAATTCAATCCTCAAATTAAAAGTCAAAATATTTCTATCTCTTTTTTTTTGTTATTAGGGAGGAGTGGGAAAATACACCCACTGGTCTTGAAAAGGACAATCATTTCCTAGAATAGGTTCTTAAACAAGGCAAATTAAATAAAAAGACGATAAGATTAATCAATAGATCATCCGCATGAAAAAGATGAGTTTATTTCATTTGTGAATCAGCTACATGTATTTCATTTGTGAAATGGAGATCACTTGCTATTGTTTTGTGCTACTTTATCCTCTCACTAGATTGTTGTCCTATGCTGCTGCTATCTTATTGGTGAGTGTTGCTGTGCTCCATCCATCCTATGTTGTCTGTTGACAACACTACTCGATCTTGAGGTGTATGCTAAAAGGCTGCAATCAAAATTTCAAGCTTTTCACTGTGTTTCAGCATCTTATCTTTATTGTAGAGAAACTTGTACAAAATTTTGTTTCACTGTATTCATGGATGTCAAGTAACCATTCTCAAAGATCATTCTGCTTCAATCCAGTCTGCGAGTTCATAGGATCTGATTACTTCTACTTATCATTTTTGCTACTATCATGTTGCTACACCAAATACGAACCTAAATAAGAATAAAGCCCAAAGCGATAATGTGGCAAGAATGGAATGGAAAGGAAGGAAATCACCATAGGACGGACCTTGTTGGCATACAGGGGAACATGATCACCCTCCTCGTACCTATGATTGGTTCCGTCAGCTCCCACCCTCAAACCACGAGGCAACCCTAGAAGAAGCAGCGCACATACCTCCTCCGTCTTCGCGATCATTGAACCAACCTGAAATCGATCGAAGAAAACTTAAAATCAGCCCTAAAATCTATGCATTTCGCTGAAAGATGAGACGTTTCGAACCAAATGCTCACCTTCGTTCCCGAGCCGAGACAGATCGAACGGGGCGATGGGCTCGGTGGATCTTGGAGACACAAAGAAGATGAGCACGTGCGAAAGTTAATTTCCAATTAAATATATAATACGACGCTAAAATCTTATTAATCTAATTAATTTGGGGCCTTCAGAATCCAAATTAAGATTAACCAATTGGATTCGATTCAAGAATCACTCTGTCCGACCACGGTCCCACTATATATTTCCCTCTCTCCTCTCCCACTCTCACTCTGACGTCTCTCGTCTCCCGCCTCTCGCCCCTCTGCTCCCTTCTCTTCTCCTCGTTCATTTCCTCTCGTCTCCTCACCAGAAATTTAGTCGTCCATGGAGCCCGTCGACCTCGTACCGAGCGGGTACAGGTTCCTTCCCACGGCGGAGGAACTCGTGGTTGACTACCTCGCAAACTGGGTCGCCGGCGCACCCCTCCCTGGCCGCGCTGTCGCCTTCGCCGACGTCTACGGCACCGAGCCGTGGAATCTTCTCGGT